TTTTAATTATGGGTTTTTACCCTTTTTTACCCCCTTTATCTGTGTATTGTATCACCTGTATGACTTTTTTCACTAAGCTTTGACACTAAAGGAGTCATTATGTTAGGGAAAAAACCCATACGAGATATTAACCCAATATTTGTGCACCTTTAAATACCCACATGGTTTTCTTCTACATCAAATGCATCACACTATGATTAAAAAAATGTACAAATTATAGTTTTGTCTATCATGCAGTAAAGACTTCATTGCATTTTTTTCAATTATTATTGTATAAAACTTTTAACCTTCTTGCTTTTTATATGTAAAGCTTTTAAATAACTAATTGAGTTCGATAAAGATTTCTATTCTATTCTAGAAAGATATATCAAAATGACAGATTTATTGATTATGTCTGTTAAAAATGTTGTGCAAGCAATGTATCAATTTATGATAGATAATTATGAAAAATCCAAAAAAGACGTTATCGAATTTGAAAATAACAAACATGAAGTATTTGAATCGATATACATAAATTTTAGTTTAGACAGATATGAAAGTGTTGATGATGCTGATTTAGAAAGTATGGTTAATATAATTAAAACACAATTCAATGATTCATTGGAACTAAAGAAACTTACACCGTTAGAATTTAGAATAGCAAATAGATCAAAAGATATTATTGAATTTTTAACAAGAGATAATATGGGTAATAGAATAATAGGCAAATTAGTTCATGTTAGAACGAATAATAATAACAAAATTGAACATAACTTTGCAGTAATGACTCAAAGAGTAATATATACATTAAAACCTAATATACAAGAAATACCACAATCGGTTTGGCAAAAGATTACATTTCAATCAAAACAATATGAAAAGAGCTTTCCAAAATTAGATTTCCAATGGATAGAAAAATTATCTTCTGTTCTAAATGTAAATTTTGTTGAAAATGCACAAAAATATGGTTTATTAAGCAGTTAAATAGTTTTGATTACTGATATTTTTAAACAAGTATTTATTTCTGTATATATAAAACTCGACTTAAATTTAATTATATTTAGTAATTTTACAACCGCCTTCTTAGTTACTAGAGACTCAGACAGAATTCATTTCTGAAAGAATCAAAGAAGATACCACGACCGG